AAAGTCCCTATTCATGGCAGATGTAGCTGACAACTGGAATCTTTTAATATGAATGCGCAAATAAATGGAAATACAAAAAAAAAATTTCCATTGTAAACATTATAGTAAAATAGGTTGTTATATTTATATACAACAAAAAAATAAAGAAAATCATTTTCTTTGACAGATAAGTATTTTAACGCATCATAGCAGGATTTCCAGCTTGTGATCCCTGGTGTCGCCAACCTCAGGGCTGACTAGATGACAATTGCAATGACAATCTTCATATTTTAGGCATTCCATATCTTATGAGTTTTTGCAGCTGACTCAAAAACAATGATCTGGGGTTCAAACTCAGACTTTGCGTTATTTAGGTATTCTTATTAGCCAGCAAGTTCTTCGTGTGAACTGCGCAACAACGTTACTTTGATAACTGCGTACTTTGATAGAATGATATTATCATAGCAATTTTCTAGAAATTTCTTAAAAACAAAAGGCGATGAGTTGACCAGCTCAGAATATACTTTCTCTCTATGTTTTTCCTACTCTACTAAACTAAACTATAAGGTACAAACATAATTTGAATCAATGTCTGTAGTTGTTGTATTAAACTAAGGATTAAAAAAACCTATGTAAAATAACAAACCACGTCAACTACACCACGTTTATGAAATAAATTGCTTCTACACTACAATTCCGCTTGTAGAGGAGTTACGAAGTAGCGGACCGAATCGCGCTACCACCTAGCTCTTATTTCAAAAAATCTTTTTATTAGATGTTAGTTTTTTAAATTGGTTGTAAAGCGCAAGTTTTTTATTCCCAGACTTTCTTTAACGTAATTTTTTTTTTAATCATCTGATTTTATTTTGCCACTGCAAATATATTAAGAATAAATAAATATTACTTCATGCTAGAAAGTAAGCACTGGGTTTTTTTTTACTAATAGATTCGAAAACATAAATTCTGAATTCTCAATCTTAGCAGAATAAATTCTAAGAAAAGTTTGTGTGATTTGTCTTTAAATATAAAGAGTGTTTCTGAAGGATGCAGTCAAAAAATAGAGTATGATCTTTTTGTTAAGAAATAAACAAAAAACTAGGTCAAAAAACACATCAGAGCTCACTTGATTGGGAGGTAATCAAGTCAGGATGGACAACTGCAAATGCCGAAAAAAATATTCAGCCTGTTTGTACCAGCTAGAATTCAAAGTACACGGTGCTAAATTTAATTCACAACATTCACTCTCCCATGAAAATAAATCCAAATATCAACTTCGTGATGTGATTACTGTTGAGGAGGAGTTCAATGTTATTCATAAAGTTTAAAACATTTATGAGGTTTTACAAAAATTACTCTGATAGTTGATTGGCAGGCAAAAATCTTTCAATTGCTAAACTTAAATAGAATGTTGTAACACCCTAAATTCTGGGTGAGTACAAAATAGATATGTTATAAGCAAGAGCTCCTCTAGTTTCTAAATTTATCAAGACATTACTATCTAATATAACTCTATAAAGGACTAAAATTGAATTATATTTGCTGTTCTTTTTTATTGCATTTTATAAAAGTCATTCATTGTCTGAAATAACAAACACTGATGAAACACTTGCAATGACACTCCAAGTTATAGTTTACAATTATGAAACAACTACAGAGTTCTATAAGCAACTAGGGTAAAAAAATTACCGATTAAATTGTCAGTTCCAGATGATCCTACAAACAACTTATTAGACATTATTTTACGATAAAAATATTTCTCAATTTTTATTATGCTCCACCGAAACACTTTCTACATTACTAGAAATTAGCCGCTTAACGTGTTAATGCTTTAGAATGGTAATGCTAAGGCGCTACTTTTTTTTTTTTTCTAGTATAGCAAAAAGTTATCTACGCAGACCATTAACTTCTGCGTCATTCAATAAAAATTTTTCTTCTGGTGGCTAAATAGTCTTTAATTAGCAATACAGTTAAAATCTAGAGATACTTAAAACGTGTTGTTTGTCAAAGAAAATTATCCTGTGATTAATTAAAACATTAAACAATTGGATATATTTTATAAAAATGAACCAGATTACCATAACTGTCAAAATTCAAAAAGACTCAAGTTTTTCAACCTTTACAAAATTTTTTGGTTTCTCTGCTTGCTTTTGAGCCGCAACGTTCAACTTCAAAATTTGCCTTGAATAGCGGGTCTAAAAGGAAACTGGGTAATTGAGCTTTTTACAAGCACCCACAAAAAGTTCCTTCAAAAATAAATAACAAAAATTTTAGCTATGAGGCATCAGGTGACTTTATACATAAAAGATGAAAATAATGATGAAATAGATCAAATCTGCTTTAAATTTGATACATTCAAGTTTACAACTACAAGGTAAGTTCTAAATCAGTCAGAGCTTTTGCATCTATAAAAAAATCTAGCTCGCAGACATCTTCCTTTATAAAAATTATGATAATTTTTGATGATAACAATCTTTTGCAACAAATAAGAAATTTTTGAAATAATTGCGATAAATAGTGAGAAGAGCTGCAAAACTGCAATTTAATCCCAATTGATGCGAATTTTTGTGCAGGTCAATGAAAAGTTGTTTCATTTCAATAGGGTACCGCTTTGCTTTTTTCTACGCCGATATTGAATAAAGTATTACTATTAATATTGAATAATATAGTAAATAAAATAAACATATTAATATTAAATATTATAAAAGTCTAAGGATTTTGGGATTGTAATACGAACAAACAACTCAAAAGTGTATAACAACAGCAATACAAGTTCCTTAGTTTTTGATATAAACTCTCGATAAATTTTTGAGTTCTTGTTCAATATTGGTTAATTTTTAATTGTCATAACAACTTTTCCCTGAAAGTTTTCATTTCGATCAGTTAGTGTATACTTTTGAAATTTTTGACAATAAATGAAACTTATGAGTATATTTTGTAAAAAAAAAAAAAAAAAAAAAATTCATAAAGAATGCGCAGAAGTTAAAAAAACTAAAATCTGTTCTTAATCTCAACAATATGATTAAATTCTTTTATTGCTAACTTTAAAGACTTTGTTTCAAACCGCGCCATCTTGAGCTGAATTATGGAAGTTAATAATTTTATTAACTTCCATATTTCACAAATTCCGATAAATTCATACGAAGAATAAGTTTAATTAAAACCGATATAATCGTATTTAGGGGAAGATTCCGTAAGATGAGCAGGTTCCAAACATGGTATAACCTCTTTTACGGGTAGATAAATGTTTTTTTTCGTTGAGGATATTTAAGCAAGTTTGAAGGTGTTGTTTATTTTAATTTCTTGGTTGTATAGTTAATACTCTTTGATTGTTTTACTATTAAAAAAAATTTAACATCCCTATTATAATTTTTTATTATTCAAAATTTTGTAATTTTGTCAGAACGAAACAAGATCATCAAAAATTTATTACAGCTTCAATAATTTATGCTTATTTACTGCTAATTCCATGGGTTATATGAGATAATACATAAACTGTTGTCATGCTATTTAACTTATGATAGTACTTGGTGAAGTTGCATAAAAACTACGTTTTTAGACGATCGAGATGAAATGCGGCTTTTTATTAAGAAAAGTGCGTTTTTTTAAAGTTATTCTCCGGTATTTCAAGAGCGAAAGTTTTTTCAAAAAAAAAGTTTCGTAAACATTTTTAGAGATAAAAAAGATTTTTTTTTTTTTTTTTTTTTTTTTTTATCGTTAAGATAATTACTTTTTACTTAAGTAATAGTCCTTGAAGATACATTTTTATTTAAATTTTTTTTTTTTTGTGATTGTTTTTTGGTATATTGAGCTCCATTAAAAAAAGCTCATCTAAGGAAACTGGTTTCCTAAAATGAGATGATTGGATGTGTTGAAAGTAACGCAATTTTATGTATAAAGGTTTTTTTTAACGAACAATCTATTTATATTCTTTAAAAGGAAAGATTAAATTATGATAATCTGCAAAAATAAATATAAAAATTATTTCGGCAATTATTGCAAAAAAAATCAATACACTGTTAACATGCTCAACATACGCAACCTTCCTCCACTAAATGATGCAGAAAATCAATAGAAAAATCATGGCTGTATTAAAATCATCAATGCTGCATTCTGCATTTATATTAGAACTAATATAAAATTTACTAGTTTTTTGATCATATTGATTATGCGTATCATTGGTATCTCGTTCCCATTTTGTCATCGAATCTTTAGTTCTTTCAATATTCTTTAGTTTCTTTCAATATTCTTTGAAACCAATGCACCAGCTGCCAAACTTTCAGGGTAGAGAGAATCTGATCAAAATAAATCTTAACAACAGAATTTTGTTGCGACTTTTTACGCATTTTCTTCTTGAATTAGTAGAGTAAAACTCGGTCAAACCGCATTTTAATCAATAAAAAACTCTTTTTTGTTTGCTTTTTTTTTTTATTTATTTTTATTATTTATTTATTTTTTTTTTTTTTTATTATTGTTTTACATTTTTTTTTTTTTATTTGTTTCATTTTTTGTTTCATTTTTTGTTTTGTTTTTTGTTTTATTTTTTAATTTTTTGTTTTTATTAGATATGTAATAAAAAACTACATATGAAAATATAAATATATATATTTGGGAAAAAAAATTATCGAAAATGTTAAATGTAAAGTAAAAAAATTGTGTGGTTTAAGGCGACATTCAGATAAAATTGCACACTTGAGAAAACTTTGAATTTTTATAAAATTTAACCTTTTTTTATTACTATTTTTTTTTTGCTTTCTTTGTTGCTTTTTTTTCATCTTTTTGTTTGAGGAACTCGATACCATTTTCTTTGGTAATACATTATCCGCCAAGTTTTGACATGTTTCACTGCTTTGATTTCTTAACATTAGATTGATTTCTTGAAAAAATTGCTTGAAAAAATTGTTTCAACTCCATCTCGATACTATTTTTGTAACGCTCAACATATGCTTAATACCTATCAAAACTTAAAGCAGGTCTAGTTGAGAAAGGTAATCGGTGTGTAGTTGGAGTAGGTACTTTGGCGGCTGTTGAAAATAACGAAGCTGTGTCAGAGCAAGATGGTCTAGGTGCTGCGGAAGCCTCAAAAATTCACAATTGTTCACAGAATAATATATTTTTATATTGTTGTCAATAAGTTTAAATGCAAAGTCTTGTCCCTTTTCGACACACTACGGTTGCTTTGCTTTGATCACCCAAAAAACCTGTTTCATCACAATTCCAAATATGCAACTCAGTAGTTATACCAGTGTGCTATTATTGCTGGGCAACGCATTCAAAATAAAGATCATTTATTTCTTGCTACAAAAAGCGGCTTTTTCAGATGCTAAAATTTCCACTTTTCTTGATGAAATTTCTTTTGACCATCATTTCATAAAGCCATAAAACCAGTCTTTGCTAGGCTCGCCATTTTTGAATAAGTGCGATTGATCTTTGCATTTATGGTAGCCACATATAAATTCGAGAATTTTATCGGTCACCAATTGATTTGAACGCATGCACCATCATTCTTTCTGTTTCATTTGAGAGTACCGTTGTTGTACCTGAGCCATTAAAGCCTTTGTTATTGTTATTTTTGCGACCTTTGAGTGTTGAGACTAGAACACCATGTTTGAATGCAATTTTTCTCAGTGATGTTTTATTTTTTTTCATATCAGTTAATGCAGCTATATCATCTTCTTTGTATGGTTTTATTTTTTTAGTTGACATTTTAAAGTGAGTGAGTTAATTTGAATTGAGTGAGTAATGATTGTATTGAGAAATTACATAATAATTGGTTTTTAATGATATCATTTTAGTGTTAATTGATATCATTTTAGTGTTAATTCTGGTTTAATTAAAAATGATTTATAATTTTTTTTGTAAATAAAATATTGTATTTACAAATAGCATTATAATTCATTTTTAATTAAACCAGAATTAACACTAAATTAATTAAATAAACCTAAGTTAATCAAATAGAACGTCATAAATAAACCTAGTGAGAATTATGCAGATATTATTACAATTCCTCCACATCCAAGCCTCAAAATGCAGCCCCTTGATATTTTATTTTGGGGCCTTTCAAAACTAAATATTGCAAAGATATTGGTGGAAAGCCATCATCCCACATAGCGCTTACTTAAAAATGATGATAAAGGTGAGGTTTTTGGAAGAGCCTTTTTACGGGCAGCGATTGCTAAAAATGCACAAATAGTTTCCAAAAAACTGGTCTATATCTCTGCAGAAAAAATATCTTCCCACCATAAAGCTTTTCTCTTCATGATAGTATTAACTTAGAGTTTGTACCACTGTCAGTTAAGCTATTTGTCAAGTGCTTTGAATAATTAGGATTATCGTGTTAAACTTATATTATAAAATATTAGGATTACCGTGTTACACTTAATCCACAACTATCTTATTCAATGAGATATTTTAAATAGAATTAAAATAAATATTAATTTTTTCGCTATTAAAAAAAAAAAGCACAAACATAATTATTCTTTTATAACTAAAGCAGTAAAAAACTGAACACAGAAAAACCTAAATTTTATTTATTCTAACCTTTTTAAAAAGATTAGATACGGATTAGACTTTTTATTATGTGATAGTTATAGATAAGTAACTTCCAAGTCAGCTTTGGGATTGCTGCAATGCAATTATGTAGTAAATTTCAATTGAATGTTTGTACTGCAAAGAATTTTTTTAGATGATCAAATGGTGAGTTATGGCTTATGTGTTTAATATGTCAAAGATGGGCACATTCTCTGTGTTCTGGCGTTGATAACAATTTTATATGTGAATTTTATAACAATTGTTTTCTTAAAAACACTCAAAAAAAAAAAGTTATTTTTGTTATTATTTATGTGTTTATATGACTTCTCCATATTTGGAAATCGTTTTTGAAGTATATCATTATGCATAATTTGATATAATATTTTTTTTACACTTAAGTTCATTTTTATAAATAAAATTTTTGCAACTTATTTGTAAGCTCAAGTTTTACAATAAAAATTTGTTTCTTCTAAAATAATAATTTGTCTTAATTTTTTACCAACTTTACAAAAGCATCTAAATAATAGACTACTTTATTACTATTGATTATTTTGTGTATAAGGAGGTAACAAATTAGCAACTGCGCCAAGAACCTCTATCGCTTGTCTGGTTTTGATCTTGAGCTATACCTGTTTTCTAACAGCACCATAACCAACCAAAAGGCATTTAGAAGCCAAAGAGATACTACACTTGGTCTTAGCCATTAGGCAGAGAAGGGATCGACCGAGGAGCTAAAAGCAATTATTAGGCCGTGAAGCTAAAAATCAGTTGCTACATTAAAGAATTTCCCTCAAAAAACAAAATTAGTTTTTTATATCAAACTTCGCCTCAACAGTTCTAATTTTGAGCACCTTTTGATTTCGATTGGGGTTCAAATATTGCAAACCAATTAAAAATCAAACATAATGATTCAAGTTTAATAAGTTTTGTTGCTTTTATCAGAAAATCATTTACAAAAACTGCTCATTGGAATAGATTTTCTGAAGTTGTTTTTAAGTTTGTAAAATTTTTTAAATTATTTTAGTAAGTCAAAAAAGCAAAAAATACATTATGGTTAAAAAGCAAAAAAGTCACATTATGGTCAAAAAATGAATAATGGTCAAAAGAGCAAAAAAATACCTAGAACTAAACTACAATAACTTAATTTATGATAAAGATTGTGAAAAATGTGTTCACAAATTTTGTAAGAGTCAGAGAGTGAGAAAGTTCTGAAATAGCGAGTGAAACCATTCTAGAGATTTAAAAGAATAAGTTTTTTAAAAGTTTTTTATTTTGACATAAAAGAAAATTATAAAAATCACCCACGTATACTTTTTTTCAAATCTCTATTAATAAAGCTTGTTATCAAATTGAGGTTTATTGAAAGCTTTTCAGCTTATCTGGTAAAAATTTAAAAAATCAAATTAAAAACTATAGTTGTTTCGTGAGCTTGTAAAAACAAATTTATACATTATTTTTCTCATCTAAATAAGTTTTTCTTTTAAGCTATGAAAATGTTGTTATTAAAAAAAAAAAACTAAATTCAGCCTTAAATACTTTGACACATAAACACAGTTTATAAAAAATATTAAATAACTTTGGAGTGAAGTGGTATAAGATAAAAATACCTTTATTTGTGTTTTCTGATTAAAAACAACTCTGAACTTTTGAGATATAATATTGGGTTTTTTAAATATTCTATTCACACACCTTTTTTTAAAATGTCCAGGCTAAATCGTTCTTGAGATACAATAACAGTTTCGTTATCTATTCTATCAATGGAGACAACCGGAAAACCAAGTTGCAAAGTCCAAGAGTCCATAACGGATTTTATATCTTTACCACTAACTAAACTGAAATATATATATATATATATATATATATATATATATATATATATATATATATATATATATATATATATATATATATATATATATATATATATATATATATATATAAGAATATATAATGTCATTTTAATTTTGTCATTTTTTTTTTTTTTTTTTGTTTGTTTGTTTGTTTAAATTTGTTGGTCGTTGTATAGCTTTATATAGGTAATAATAAAAATAATAATATAAACTTCCAATGACAGAAAATATAACAATTATAACAAGGTATCTGAAAGAAGATTACGAGGATCTTGTCGTCAGAACCTTAAATAAGTATTTATCAAGGATAAGATAAAAAAAATTTTTTAATTTTACAAAACTGCAAGGTAAAGATTCTATGTATCTGAAGAAAGGTCAAAAGGATCTTCTAATCAGAATTTCGCATTACCATACAAACACAATAGCATTAACATACAAAACCATGCGAACATATTAGCAAAAATAATCAAATATATACGCACTTTAATTACAAACCACTAGACGTCATGGAACACTGTAACACTTAATATAATTATAAAACACCTCATTTCTTTAGTCTTAAATTTTGCCTCATTATCTGTTAATATTTTGGATGGCGCTCCTCGTTCACAAAAGATAAGACGGAGAATTCGAATGATGGCAACACTTCCTGTTGTCACCACAAAGCGTATCAAAGGTCCGCAATGGATTAGACTCAGAAACTTTTGAGTTCCATAATGCGTAACATCCAAGCTACCTTTTGTCATTTGTACAGGTGCTGGATCCATTGACTGACACGGCTCGCAATTTTTTTGTAGTTTTTTTTTTACTTTTCAAATAAAGTTCAATATTCTACTCACTCCAAAATGTCAAGTTTTCTTGTGTATACTCAAGATGGATTCAGGCTCCGCAACTTCTACTCAAATAAAACTTTTAAAAGCTCATTCCTAGTCAACTTATTAAATCATCTGTTGCAAACTCTTGTTAATGCGTCAGCTAAACTATCTTCCGATGCAATATGCGTTGCTCTAATGCAAAATGAGGAAATACGCTTTTAAAAAAAGAAGCATTCAACATATTGAGCTAATTTTTTCACAAGACATCAAAAAAAATGTTTATGTTTCTATATTTAAAAGAAAAACATTCAGTTTTTATAAAAAAGACAGTTAACTGTATCTTTCTCGGTTAATCTGGACTAATTCCTACTTATCCAAAAAATTACTGTCCAGATATTTTTATTCAAAAAAAGTGCCAATATTTTATAGAACTTTGCAAACTATATCATTAAAACAATTTAGCAATAAAAAATATTAAGTATAAACTTATTAAAATTACAAACAAATTCTGCTATCATATGATTCTTTGTTTTTTAATTTCTTACAAAGTTTTTTTACGTTCTAATAGATGTTTTTATTAACTTGTAGCTATAAAAAATAGTTATTTAAAAGTTTTTTAAAACGTCATCACAAAACAGCTTATCAATATAACATTTTAGTTGATGTTATAGATCTTTTTAGGATAGTTAATTACTAGTTAAAATTTATTAATTTATTTCTTAAATATTCTTTAAAAACAAAAAACAACAAAACTTTGAATTGTTATTATAAACTATATTGAGATTTCTTTACCAAAAAAAAATAGTCTAACAATAGCATAACATTCAAAAAAACACTTAATAGAGGTACATATCAAATGTCACAAACAAATAATTAACTGTATGTCTAATGTTATAATAGAACGTTAGACATGCATGACTAACTCGTGCAGTTTCGCTTACTTTGTTTATTATTTTAAATATCCTCCAACCTATTGGAGTATACTTACAATAAAAGAAATATCATGAATAATATTTACAGATTGTGACATAGGTATGGTTTTTTTTAATGCGTTATTAGTAATGAATGCAAATAGATATTCAGATTTCCGATTAAAAATCTATATATTCGATCTTGTATTTGTGCTGTTCATATTATATATGTATATATATATATATATGTATATATATATATATATATATATATATATATATATATATATATATATATATATATATATATATATATATATATATATATATATATATATATATATATACATATACAGTATGGAGTTATTTATACCACTATTTAGTATTTTAAGTTTTCTATCGTTTGATATATCACACAAATTTAAAAAAATCAAATATCAATAAGTTATAAAGATTTTTTATTTCAACTATTACGCAAAAACTTATTTGTTCATTATCGCAAAATATGTTCTTTGACTTGCATTTTCCCTTGAACGTTTTTTGACTTGCATTTCCCTTGTATTTACCAACGATATAAATCTATGCACATCTGTTTATATTGTATCCATAAGTACACTTACTAAGTTATAAGTTCACCTTATTTTAGTTTATGCTGATAAGTTGATTACCCTGTTTATTCAGATTTTTTTTATTAACCACCGTTCCTTCTCATATGTCCTAACCTATATTTCAGGATCTTTTTCTAAACTTATACATGTTAGTTGTTATTATTAAAAGTTCATAAATTCTATTTATTTAACATTATATGTATTTTATATATATATATATATATATATATATATATATATATATATATATATATATATATATATATATATATATATATACATATATTATAACTTTATATTCATAGCTTTTTTAATAATAATAATAACAACTTAGTATATAAAACATATTATACTCACAAGATATATTTACTTTGTTAATTTTTGATGTTTTATATTTAGTTAGAAACAACTTTTTTCTTTTTTCGCATATTTTTATTAAATAAAAAGTCAGACTTTCAAAAATATTCAAACTCAGTGTAACCAGCATAAAGTGATAAAAACGTAGATTGCAAAAACATAGCACATGCAAATACATTTTTACTTGTGAAAATATGCTTACAAAATGCCTTGTGAAAATATGCCTCAGAGGAAAATCATTAAACAAAACTTTGGTGAGATTAAAAGTAAAAATTATAAGGCAATAATATACGCTTAACTTAGAAGTTATAGCTTTAAAACTAGAAATAAATGTACCACTTCGCATCCAGTTTTGTTTTTTATTCTTAAAAACTGACCGGTTGTTAATAAAAACCACTACAATGAATGCATTTTACACCTACAGAGGTAGCCAGAATATTAATACTGCAGAGGTAACCAGAATATTAATTCCCTTCTAAAAAGTCTATTTATTGTAGAAATTTTATAATAATTAAAAACTGGCTATCCCAATAGTAAAATGGTCTTACCAATCAGTCTTTACAGACAAACAAAAGCATTAATCCAAATATATTTTTTTTTTTTTTCTTGGTTTTTAATTTGCAAAATGCATCATTTATTTGTTAATATGGAAAAAATTTGAGTAAACTCGGAAATTATTGTATGTAATATAATGATTTAGTGAAAACCCAGGTTTTTTTTACCCCTAAAAATCTCGCATTTAGAAAGACAAGTTTAAAAAATTTTGTAACAAACATTTTTTTATTAATTAATGTTAACTTGTTTTGCTTAAAAAATATTCATAATATTTAAGTTAAAATTTTTTTTCAGAAAAGTAAGTAAAACCCTATTTCCGCTTCGCGACGCATAGTACGATAGACAAGATTTACGTCAACTTTCATATCGTCTTCTTCAATAGGTTATTGCAGTACGCTTATTCTTTTTCAAATTAACATTTCAATCGTGGTTTTGACTTCAACCTTGATTTTCCAGTACGTGCGTCAGATATCCAGTGGAAAACTGTTGCAGAGTCTGTAAAATCTGTCATTTTTTCTAGTTTCCACATCAAAGCCATATTTATTCCTCGTAGCGCCGCATCTAACTCTGGCATGTTTATATGAAAGTCTGACTATTTTTTTTGCAGCCATGTTGCATCTTCCAAAATTGTATTACGAATTTGAACTATTGCACCCATAGCTAAAGAACTTGCATCAGCCCACACCTTTCCCTCACTGCCATCCACAGCCCAATCATTACAAGCTGGCTCGCAACTTTCAATCTTATCATAAACTTCTTGAAGTACACATTTCACATTTTTATCACAAGTTTCATTGTCCCAGCCCTTCGTCAAACTGACAACTCTTCGTTTCAAAAGATTAAAAACAACTCGTAACGAACCACACACAGGTTAATGACCCATCAAATGCCCGCAAACTGAAAACACTATTCTCTTAGTTAACTTTTTCCGGATTTCTTCAACTCGATTCCCTCTTGACCACGCCAGTTTGTTACCAGCTTTACGTACACATAATCCCAACACACGGATTCCTTTATCATTATCTTTTCACCTTCTTTCTCCAAACCATAATTTTTAAATGTGTCTTGATATAATTGAGATTTACCACGTTCTCATTGATAAATATGTCATCCACGTAAGCGGACATTCCTTTCTTAACCAACTCGTCATGATCAATGATGGCGTTCAAAAAGGATTTCATGATCATCGGCGCAACATTCAAACCAAAACCAACAATATTTGTTAAACAGTATCTATTGTTGTGAAATACCACCGTTTGGAACGATCAAAGGTGTTCCTCAGTTTTCATCTCGAAATAAGTCTTGTGTAGATCGATAATTGCCGGTTTGTTTCCCATTCATCTCCATTCTTGCAACTTATCAATACACACATCTGCAACTCTTTTATACGCCTCGATGAAGTTTTTAGTTTCTTTCCAATCCAAAACAGGCCGGACTTTATTATCTTTTTTTCTTTGATTCAGAGCCATTGAAGGAATTTGTCCTTTAGGCGGCCCCAATACTTTTCGTTATACTCAAGTAACTATTTCCGCTTGATGCAATCCTGAAGTTTGTTTTTGTTATCCGTTTCAGCATGTTTTGATACAATGTTTTGGGCAACTTTGTTAAACAGTTGGTCGGGTCTATCTCCGTCTTTCCATTTCCATTTGACTCCACATTTAATACCATTAAAAACAGCTTCATGATATTTCTTTTTAATTTCAATTTTGTTTACTTCCTCTTTGTTTAAAACTGCC